GCCGACCGGTCCTTTGCGCCCAAAAGAATTTCGTCGCGGCGCCGCAGTTACCGTGGTCAAAAGCTGCTAAACCAACAGCCAGCAGCTTAGCACCTCAACCGACTACCAGTTCCCCTTAACGCTGGTCATATTTTGACCCCGTTCCCCCCCATTCCCTCTGCCCTGACAACCGTTCTATTTTTTATACCAACCCGAATAGACTATTTACTTAATTACCATATAAATGTTAAGGCCTGATGAGAACTATCGAAAACAAACGCATGTTCGCCAGTTCATCTTCTGAGTCTAGTAATTCTCCCAAATTTTGTTGCTGTTAGTAAACCTGTTGGTCTATGTTTGCAATTACTATGATCTTAGCTGCCAGAGCGTAATACGGGGTTTCATCTGTGGTCTCTGCACCCACCAACCCCTTATAAGCATAGGGCTAACTATCTGACAACCTAAACGCCCTCCATTTTTGTGCACGAATTGCCTGTCTACCCACTTAAAAGCTTAAGGCATCACCTCGGCAACTTTGCGCAACGTATCTTTATGGTTATCGGCTACGAGGCCGTCTCTGATGTCCTTGGATTCCAGCCAAGCTGAATAGTGTTGACTGTGAAAAGAAGATGGCTCGATCGCTGGGACAATACTTTTATTCGCCTGATGTTTCGAGATCCGTCGCGGATTCGTCATCAGAGGCATAGTCAGATAGCAGTAGCAGATACGGGTTGACTGTACTCGACAAATCTATCAAGAAATTCAAGAATTTTTTGTATACAATTAACTGGTCGTCCAGTTTCCGTCTTTTATAAATAATTGGCAGTGTTTTAAAGTTGGCCGATAAGTTACTAACCATTTGTACGTTTAAGTCCAACTTGGTTCCGGACTTTCGGCTTACTGCCTATTCAACAAATTGCTAAGGCTATCTTCTCAGTCAGGCTGTTTGTGAGGTATTTAGTGCTAATGTTAATTTCAACTTTTGTTTGAATTAAAGAAAGACAAAGCTTACCTTTCATATACTGTATTTTCCGCCCAGGTACCAACAACGCTCGACTGGCCGCAATGCTTCGTCAACTTGCTGTTTACCATGGACGTGATCCATTCAATCTCTTCCTGGTGCGCCTAGCTCAGGGCCTAACCCATCTTGGCAAGGGTACTCTCACACTGTCTCCCTGGCACTCCGATCATTTTCTTCTTCGCCCCGTCAGCCTAGCCGGTGTGCTCACGCTCCTAGTGTCCTGTCTGGATATGCGTATGACCTTCATGGGTCGAAGCGACTATCTCATCTTCTACTTGACTCCCGCCATACAACCACGACTGCTGATGACCTTCGACAAGGACATGAAACCCCTCACGGTAACCGTCCGTGTAGGTCAGGCGGTCGATGTGGTTGGACAGGCCGGTCGACCGAAGACAATCACCGGTTTTCAGACGCACACTACACCGGTCCTACTGGCCCATGGCGAGCGTGCTGAGCTTGCCACGGATGAGTATGTACCAGCCACAAATTTGCCTCTGGAAGGCTTCGTCATTCTCGCAAAGAACCCTTCCTATGAGAAACCGTCAACTTAATCGGTGATTTAATCCCTTCAACCATCGGGAAATATATAGCCCCAAAAGTCTGCTAAAGAATTTGTTATTTTCTTCCCATGTGTCTTACCCGTTGCTGCAGCTGCCACCCTTCACTTCACCTTTTTTAAATTAACTTTAGGGCGTTTAATCATACGGTGGCGCCCGTGTGGTCGCTAAACATATATTAATTGAAAAGTCGATTTGGCAAACATTTTTTAGCATTTCTTCATCAGGCCAAAACATTTGCAAGGATAATGTAAACCGCACAGTTGGACAGGGTTAGTAAGTGTAGTTCGATTACAATTCGTCGTTTACACGTC